ACTCTGCTTGGCCGTTGGCTTGGGGGTAGGCCACTGACGCGAACCTTGCAATTGCTCCTACTTGGTCGCAGAAGTCAATTACCTCCGTGCAATCGAACTGTTTCCCATGGTCGAAGACGAGCGCGTTCGGGACTCCGAACCGCGACAATATGTTATTTTTCAGGAAGCGTGTCACCTGTTGTGCTGTTATCGAGGCGAGTGCTTCCGCTTCGATCCACTTGGTGAAGTAGTCCACCGCCACGATGATGTATTTGCGCTTCCCTTTTGCCGTTGGAAAGGGGCCCAGGAGGTCGACGCCCCATTTTGCGAAGGGCCATGGGCTCAGGTTGCCTTGTAGTTCGGTGGAGGGAAGGTGGTGTTGGCGCGCGTTTACTTGGCACTTGTGGCATTGGTCCACATACTTCTTCGTGTCTTTCTTTACTCGCGGCCAGTAGTACCCGTGCAGCAAAATTGTGCGTTCCATGCTACGCGACCCGGCGTGCATTGCGCACAACCCCTCGTGTACTTCACGCACCACGTTGTGGGCTTCCTCTTGGCTGATGCATTTTAAGTAGGCGCCCGAGTACGAAAGCCAGTATAGTTCTCCTCCGATAATCGTGCAGCGGGCCGCTTTTTGCCTTAGGGCCCACGCCTCTTTAGGATCTTCTGGCACTACGTCGTCTTGCAAGTATTTCACGATCGGGGCTCTCCAATCATCATCTAGTGTGGGTTGCGCGGCGTTGACCGCCACTTCCTGGTCCGCTTCTTCCTCCTTTTGGACGGATACCAGTCGAGTTGATTCGAAGTCCGTGGCGGTTGCCAGTTTTGACAACGCGTCCGCGTGCATGTTCTCCTCACGGGGGATTTGCGCGTAAGTCACTGCCTCGAAGGTACTCGCCTTCTTCTTGACGCGCTCCATGTAATGCGCCAGCGCGTCTTCCTTCGCGTCGAAGGTTCCATTCAGTTGATTAACTGCCAGAGAGGAGTCGGAAAGGATTCTTATCATTCTCGCACTTAAATCGCTGGCAGCCGTCATTCCCGCCAAGATTGCTTCGTATTCCGCCGCATTGTTTGTCTTCAGTGCCCTGAACCGGATTGCAATCTCGTGAGTAGCGCCCGCTGGAGCGCGCACGACCACCCCCGCTCCGGCTCCATGTTTGCTTGCCGCTCCATCCACGTAGACATCCCATACCCCCTCTGGCGTGGAGTCGAGGGTGACACCCTCCGCGATAAAATCCGCTAGAATCTGAGCTTTTATCGCGGGCCTCGGGGCGTATTGGATGTCATACTCGGACAATTCGACCGCCCATTTCACCATCCGCCCGGACACTTCCATCGAGGACAAGATTTTTTTGAGCGGAAGGTTGGTCAGGACCGTGATTTGATGTGCTTGGAAGTAGGGGTGTAGTTTCTGCGAGGCGCTCACTAGTGCGAGTGCCGCTTTCTCAATTGGGGAGTACCTCGTTTCCGCGCTAACCAGCGTTCGTGACGTGTAATACACAGGACGCTCGGTCTGGCTCTCTCTCCTGGACACTAGCACTGCGCTTACAGCTCTTGTTGACACAGCAAGGTACATAAAGAGTTTTTCATTAAGCTTGGGAGCAGATAGTACAGGTGGGGATACAAGATATGTCTTGAGTTCTTGAAAGGTTGTTTCACATTCTCGCGTCCACGCAAACCGCGTGCCGTTCTTGAGCGTTTGGAAGAAAGGGGCACATTTATCAGCTGACCTTGGTATGAATCTTCCCAGAGCCGCTATCTTTCCGTTCAAGGACTGTATCTCTAGCGCGCTCCTCGGCGCCCGCAGTTGCTGGACGGCGGTTATCTGCTTCGGGTCGACCTCGATTCCGCGCCTAGTGATCATGAACCCCAGGAACTTTCCTGTTTCTGCTCCAAACACGCATTTTAGAGGGTTCAAGCGCAGACTGTGCCTGCGCATCGCATCGAAAGTCTCGCGCAGATCTTCCAGGTGTGAGTTGCCCGCTTTGGTTTTGACGATGAGGTCGTCCACGTAAGCTTCAATGTTCCTCCCGATTTGACGCGCGAACACAGAGTCGATCATTCTCTGGTAGGTCGCGCCAGCATTCTTCAAGCCGAACGGCATTCCAACGAAGCAGAAGTTCCCGAATGGCGTCATAAACGCCGTCTTTTCTTCATCCTCTCGTGACATCGGGATTTGGTGGTACCCCGAGAACATGTCCAGGAACGACAGCGTTTCATGATCCGCGGTGACGTCAATCAGCTGGTCTATCCACGGCAAGGGGTAAGGATCCCCCGGACACACCTTGTTCAAGGTTGTGTAGTCGACGCACATGCGCCACGCGCTAGAAGATTTTTTCACTAAGACCACATTCGCCAGCCATTTTGGGTATTTTACTGGTCGGATCAACCCTGCCGCGAGCAACCGCGCCACCTCTTCTTCTATGGCTTTTAACTTATCGCCCGTAAAGCCCCTGCGCGCCTGTTGCCTCGGCTCTGCGTTCGCAGGGACCGCGAGAGAGTGTTGCGCTACTTCTCTTGGCACTCCCGGCATGTCTTCCGTGCACCATGCGAACAACTCTTTATATTCTTTCAACAGTGCAATCAGCGGCTCAACCATGTCACCAGGTACATGGGTTGAGACGCGTATCCTCTTCTCAGGTTCGTCGGGGTCCAGTGCCACCTCGAAATCAGAATCCATCGATTCTGGACGCGGCTCTTCGGCCCGCGTGTCGACGATGTTGGTTTGGCGGGGTAATTCTTTCCTCCGCGGGGTCGCCCACGGGGTTCCTCGGGCTTCTCCGATCCCTGCCTTGGTAGGGAATTTGAGCTTTTGGTGACACGTCGACGGCTGTGCCATGAACTTTGCGAGAAACGGGCGTTCCAGGTTGCCGTTGTGGTGGGACTTGCAGTCGACGATGGTAAACTCGATTTGCTTGGAGACCCGCGGTTCTTGATCCCCGATTACGACCGGAAGGGTGACCGCGCCGATCACCGCGACCCTCGTTCCGGAGAAACCGACCAGGTTTCCCTCCGCTCGTCTGATCAAGCAGTCCTCTTCGGATGAGCCCCTCTATTTCGTACCTTAGTTCCCTGCAGTCCTCCGTTGAGTGACCCGTTTCCCTATGGAACTCGCAATGTTTGTTCGGGTTGCGCAGGTGAGGAGCGGCCTTGACGGGCGCGGGCCAATTGATCTTGTACCCCTTCTCGCGGAGGACATGGAATACGTTCTTTACGGAGTCGTTGAGCGGTGTGTAATTGGGCGTTGCGTTCTGCTGACGCCTATCGGGGGAGCGCCTCCGCGGAACTTGTTCTGGTGGAGCGAGTTGCCTCCTGGATCCGCTGTGAGACTGCAGTAACTGTTCTCGGGGCACCGGAAGTTGTTTCCGCGCTTGGTCTTCCCTGGGCGGCTTGGAAGGCTCAAAACGCCTGACAGAACCCGCGCCCAGAGTCTCCTCCAGCGTGATGGCCTTTTCGATTTTAGCTTCGAGCTCTGTTGACAGCGTCACTGGCCTTTTTGCTATGGCGCGCTTGAGCTCCATGCTGGTCGTAGCGTCCATGAGGTGATGGGCGGCGGTTTCGGGAGTGAGGTCGCGCACCGCCATAGCTACTCTCGACCATCTGGCATAGAACGCGCGTAGGCTCTCACCGTCTTTCTGCCTGATGTCGATCAGGGCCTTCAGGTGCAGGGGTCTCCTTTTTTGTGACGCGAATTTGGTAGTGAAGAGGAGTATGAACTCCTCAAAGGAGCGGGTGATTCCGTTCGGGAGTCTGTTGTACCAGTCGAGGCATATGCCGGAGAAAGTTGATGGGAAAGTCCTGCACAGTGCCGCGTTGGAATTGGTTTGGAGCTGCATTCTGAGGCAAAATGTGCTGACGTGGTCTTCTGGGTCCGTCGTCCCGTTATACGTGGGGAGGGCGGGCGGCATTCCTCTTAAATGCTCCGCCATTATGTCCGCGCTTAGCGGTTGGTGGAGGATTCTCTTAGGAGGGTGGGGGCGGTATTGTGGAGAAAGATGCTGCTCCAAGAAACTGAGGTCCGCCCTAGGATGTGGCTCCGCCTGGGGTGCCTCGTCCGCGGATGTGATGAACGGGATCTGTTGTGGCGGCGTGACGTTTACCGCGGTCGCGTCTGGCGCTGACAGCGCCGCGTGACCGGGTTGCGCTGACTCTTTGCTCATCATGAGCGCTATAACCTGGTTCATTTTTTTTTGCATGTCGGCAATGATTTCGTTTTGCTTAGCCATCTGCTGCCTCATCTCCTTGGGCGTCAGCTCAGGCTCTTCTTCTTCAATGAGTACCGCGTTGAAGTTGCTGGCCTCCTCGTGTGTCCTTTGGTTCGTCATAGCTTTGATGGGTGTTGCTTCGTTGGGTGAGTCGATATTGCGTTCCGTCGTCAGTTGGTTTTCCATCGCTTCCCTACTGGCCCCACGGTGGGCGCCAATTGTTTGAGCCTAACTGAGTGTAGGAGTGAGACTCGTGAGAAAGAGGGGGGAAGTAGGGCAAGCGAAGCGTAACGGCGTCTCCTTCGTAGTAAATGCCGATCCTCTACCTACCGTAGTAAATGCCCCTTTTATAGTACATCATGGTAGTGGGTATTTAATGCGACATGACTACAACGTGTGTCAGGGTTTTCGGCCATGCTTCTAGACCCTAATTATTCCTAGGACCTGACTCACGACTTGACCTCTCCTTCGTAGACTGCGGCGCCCTCTATACAACCTTCGCTTCTTGTCTTAGGTAGGGCAGATGACGCCGGCTTGATCAGGACTGAAACGACGCTGGTTTTGGGCTAGATAAAACGACGTCGGCTTGGGTTGCATCCGAGCCACATCCCCAACAAATATCAATATGAATTGTAAATAAATTATCTTCAAATATGTTTTATATCCGATTCAATTCATTTATTATTAATGATTTTTTCACATTTCTACATATTTTATTAAACCGACATGAATCGACACACAAATTATACCACCGGTTCAACCATTCACTTGTTAGACCAGCAATTATAAACCGGTTTCTTGTGCTATGCTTCTCCACTCTGCAATCTGCATCATACCCAAAAAAAAAAAATTAAGCTACAAAATAAAATACAGCTGGTATTTCATCGACCGACAGAGAACGTGTATCTAGTTTTCAGTCACATGAAAGGAAAGAATCCACAGCGCATCACTCCGTCGTTACTCCACCACTTCCCGGCCAAATCTTTGCCGCGGAAATAAAAACAGAAGCTTGACCATAAAAACAGAACCCACGGTTACAGCGCAACAGCGGGAGAAAAAAGCAGGCAGCTTCATAAGTGATGAAAGCCCAACCATAATTAACGACCATCCATTTCCCGCCGGACCCGGAATTCGAAAGGCCCCTTCTTCCGCCATTAATACACGCGCAAAGAATCCGCCCAAATCCATCGCATTTCTCGAGATCAGAATCCATCCAAGATAGATTTTTTGGAACAGGGGGAAGAAGTCCGGCGATGGGCTCTCTTCCGCCATCTCTCGATCTTCCTGCCGATCCCAAACACGGTCAGCAGCGGCAGATCGACGAATCCACCCTCCTGAATCTCTTCAAATCCCAGCAGAACCATCTCAATTACTTCTTCCGCCACCTCGATCTCTCGCAGGCGCTCTCCTTCTCCCAAACCCTGCTTAACACCACCGGCACCATCTTCTTCTCCGGCGTCGGCAAGTCCGGCTTTGTCGCCAACAAGATCTCCCAGACCCTCGTCTCCCTCGGCATCCGCGCCTCCTTCCTCAACCCCGTCGACGCCCTCCACGGCGACATCGGCGCCCTCTCCTCCCTCGACGTCCTCGTCCTCTTCAGCAAGTCCGGCAACACCGACGAGCTCCTCCGCTTGGTCCCCTGCGCCAGGGCCAAAGGGGCCTACCTGGTGTCGGTGACTTCCGTCGAAGGGAACTCACTCGCGTCCGTCTGCGATATGAATGTACATTTGCCGCTGGAGAGGGAGCTGTGCCCATTCGATTTGGCTCCGGTAACCTCCACCGCGATCCAGATGGTGTTTGGCGATACGGTGGCGATCGCGCTTATGGAGGCGAGGAATTTGACCAAGGAGGAGTACGCGACTAACCACCCTGCTGGCAGGATCGGCAAGAGCTTGATTTTCAAGGTTCGTTTGAAATTGGGTATTCAGAATTTTTGGTTGCCCACAATGTGTTTGATATATTGCCGCTTTTGGAATTCAATGTTAGCTCGATAAATATCACGATGGAGATGGACTATCTTTCACGACGTAGCGAATTGATCTGAGAACTACAGTAGTTAATTGAATCTGGGTTAATTTGGTCGTAGCCTGACGATAGATAGCCTTGAATTATCTTCCGCCCTGGAGGAGTAAGAAGTCAGGATGATGATGTTTGCAATTTGCAGGTGAAGGATGTTATGAAGAAGCAAAATGAGCTGCCGGTGTGCAGGGAAGGAGATCTGATTATGGATCAGCTGGTTGAGCTGACAAGTAAAGGCTGCGGTTGCCTTCTTGTCGTTGATCCTGATCATCACCTTATTGGCACCTTTACTGATGGTGATCTCCGTCGGACTCTCAAGGCTAGCGGGGAAGCCATATTCAAGCTTACAGTTGGGGAAATGTGCAACAGGTACAAGAAAGGAAACTGCAATTTCTCTGCTCTTTTTTTTCTCTCCTTCTGCTGTGAACCTTTCGAACTGCATATACATATCTACTTATGTAGGAAAAATATCCTATGCCTCGCGAGTGAATTGATCACGACTATCGTCATGATTTGGGTAACCATGATGCCCAATGGCTGATTCTGGGCTTCTTGAACTTATTGTGTATGTCTGCCGGTCATTCCAGGAACCCAAGAACTATTGGTCCAGATGCAATGGCAGTGGAAGCAATGAAGAAGATGGAATCACCACCATCACCTGTACAGTTTCTGCCTGTGATCAGTGATCAGAATGTTTTGATTGGAATCATTACCCTCCATGGACTAGTTTCAGCAGGGCTTTGATGATCACCACAGCTGGAATTCCGGCCAGTTTCATACGTAATTGTATCAGCAACAGCGTTCTTCCTTCTGCATTGGGATGTTGATCATCGTTCCTTTTAGTCATTACTCAGTATTTTGAATTCACTGCATAGATAGGGGGTGGGCGGGATTTGGGAGGGGAGATATTCTTTTGCATTCTCTTCACTGTACCATTGATATTTGTGATATGTAATGTAAGTATGAAATAGCAAAAATAGTATATGAAAAATAGTAATGAACATGGAAATATACACCTGTGCTTAATTTTTTTTTTTTTTTTTGTTCATTTTCTCATAGAAGAATCACAAAATCAGTCCTAACGAGTTCATTCATTGTCTGAGTAGCAGCAACAGATTTAGTGCTCCTAGGGGGAATAAGACCAATGTTCTTCGTAGCTTTGGCCACAAATTTTTCAGTAATTGAGCACTGATATTCCATAACAACTGCAGCTGGTTGTCCAAGACACTATTCATATAGCAGTAAGATTAAGTATTTGGTCGGTTTCTTTTATCCATTTGGTCTAAATTATGACTGATTTGCAGACATGTTTCTGTATCTACCATTCCTACTCAGCTGATCAGAACAAACTTTCTGGGGTATAGGTCAACCTGGCTTCTGATATATCTGATGTTCCTGTTATTCTTATACTCCAATCATGAACCAGGAATACATCATCGCTTGGCGTGGAGGAGAAACGAAAATGTGCTACCGTATATTATTAAGATGAGCTTGATTCGCTGGTGCTATCAGAAGAAACTTCAGGCATATGTGTGTTACAAGCATCATCAGCATAAGAAAATAAAGAAGTAGGCTTCAGACTGCTTTTGCCCTTCAGCCTCTTTTCCTTCAAGGACTTCCATTGGAGCATTCGTGCCTTCAGTTCTTCCCTGATCGCAGAGGCAGTACTGTTCCAGCCTTCATAGGGTATTGATGCATCATAAAACTTCTCTTTTCCTTTCCCTTCTGATCCTCCAGTGCTGCACCCTGGTTCGCCTATCTGCCTCCTTCCTGGCGAGCTATTCTTATCAGAGACAATGGACTGCTGCGAAAGCTGGAGATCATTCTTTGCCCATTTATAAATGGCACTCAGTTTGCCATCCACGGCTTCAATAAGAATTCTTAACTCGTCAATTTCATAACGGTACAGAAAGATCCTTCGGCCCCAAGGACAAGAGCAGAGCAGCTTCGCATGGTTTAGGCACGAGTATCTGTCAGCAGAGCAGGGACATGTGGCTGCAGAGAGGTGAAGATCATAATAACATACTATACATTCCTTTTTACTTGTGGAATCAAAGTCCTTGTCCATCTTCTTTGACTGTGAAGTGTTGCACAGGTATTTCCTTCTATTGGCCTCCATCTCAATACGTAACTGCAAAAATTGGAACCAAATACAAATATGGAGAATCAAATCATAAGAACACAGGTGTGGTACCAGTGATGATATAATACTAGAAAATACCAAGGGTTTAACCCAAGTGTCCTCAAGTTCCTTAGCACACTAACAAGAGTATCCATCACCTTGAGCACTTTTGCTAAAATCCCTTCCTTCCCAGCAGCCTCTTTCCATCTTGCATTTATTGAGATATCTTTCCCAGACAGTAAGTCTAACCATTGCGCCCTCACAGCTTCTCTAGCTGCACCAATCAACAGCTTATCCTGGGAAATAAAAGTCCTTCTTGCTTGTTCACTGTAGAGTTCAGCAGAATTATGCCCATGTGGTAACCACTCAACTGGAGCCAAATGGATACTCTCAGAACAATTAAAGCCACAGTCGAACCCTGAATAACGTGTTCTTGGCAGGACAAGAACAAACTCTCCAGGATACTGAATGCATCGATACACAGGTAATCCCGCTGACTTCAATGTTGTTGGCGTCAGTTTCATTAGCTGCACCAGTGAAAGCATTGCATAAGAATCACTTCCATTCTGCTAGTAGTGATGAGAAGATCATATTTGGCCACAATTGAAAGCCGACTTGAGACTAACTCCAAAAGCGAGAGAGATGAACTTCCACATTCAAAAAGTAGAAGTTATAACCTGCTCCAGGAGTATCAATACATGATGACTTTCTACCCCCCCCCCCCCCCCCCCCCCCCCCCCCCAAAAAAAAAAAAAACATGAAGATAAATCATTTCACTAGAATAAGAGTAAAAAAACGAAATGCTGGAGCTTCTGACTCACCTGTCTATAGTGTTGCATCTTTGATTGTTCCACTGTCGATTCGGGAAGGTAATTCTTCATAGCAACTTCAAACTTCGAACCATGATTTCCAGGGATAGCATACCAAATTCTGGGGGAACCAATATGCATGTAGGAGAGACAGTACAAATGGTGCACTGCAAGTTTCTGCTTTTGAAAATTAACAGAGCAAACCAAAGTGATCAATAGTTGAAACCACGTGTTCATATTCGAAAGGAAAACTAATGAACAACTCTGATCCGTTCTGCTGGAAATAACAGAGTGTAGCATATCTTAGCACTATCTTATGAGGAATGCTGTGAATCTTACCCAAGGACAAGATGAGAAGCACATTCCTAATCTAAGTCGAGGTCGTAAGAGCCCGGAAGTACTAAAGATCTCAAATGACAGAAGTGAATCTGGAAGCACAGCTGTCTTGTTTAAGTTCCAGCCCGAGTTCAAGTACTCCTGACTGGTACAAGTTTCTAAAGATTTATAGACGGGAAATCCACTGCCAAAAACCCGACTATCCAAATTATCACCACAAATCACCTACAAGAGCCAAGAGCCCAATTAAGAACATATGCCAGGGAAAGTAACGACCTGAGCTTAGATGTAACAGTGGCCTTAACTGAGTCTATCAGACACGGGACAAGCAAACCAAGCACAAGGACATGTCACCCCAACATACCTCAATCTCTTCTGTAGGATTATCAATAATTCTTCCATACTCACCCTCAATATCCCCCACAGATGGTTCCCTCTGCTTGACACACCCATTGGAATCTGCTTCTGAATCCAATATGCCATCGACGGAGAAGTACTGAGACACAAAATCATCGGCATATATCTTGAAAATTTTAGGAGTAAGTCTCGGACCAGGTTCCAGTTTGACACCTTCCATGTCAGAACACACAGAAAACTCGCCTAAATTTTGGTCCTGCAGTCCATCTATCCGCTGAACTTGCGATTCAAATGTTGAATCTTCCCACATACTCTTTTCAGTAATTAGGCTAGGAGGATGCCACGAAGTAGGAGGGATAATGCGACAGATACCATAGGGTTCAGCTATTGGACATATACTTTTGATATACTTTAGTGCATCCTTGAATTCCTGGAGCAGAAAATGGTATGCTCATTTAGATAACAATTCAGAAGCATATGCCTCCCAGAATGAGAGGGGGAAAAAAACAGCAAGAACATGAGAAGAGAAATGCACAATCTCATTTCGTTATAATTAGACAGGAAGGACCTCCTCATTGGGGCGGAAAACAGGAGCTTCTTCAAGGAGATGTTTCTTTCCTTTTTCTGGCTGCCACCTTGCCATCACCTGTTCCAGACTTCAGCCAGCATCAGAATGCAGTGGATAGTCGGGAAATGTTGTGCAGGGATTAGTTATCAGATGGAAATAAGTTTAAGATGGGTATAGACCTTCACGCAATCTCTACAATCTGGACACCCCCTAGCAACGCCTTTTGGAAGGCAAGTCTTTGAAGAATGCTCCTGCGAAATATTAAATTGTAATTTCCTGATCAGAAGCAAGGGAATAAGTCTATAACTATCAGTTATCCCCAAACTTGAGTGAAAACTTGGAAGACTAAAATCATGAAGAGAAAATGTAGAAACCGTATCCTCTTCTTTCGTGCTTGCCTCCACTTGCATATGATCACCAGCACCCAGGTCATGGAGTATCCAAGGCCGCCGTGCTGACAAACTCTTCAGCATTGCACCATCAATCACGGCAGATGCATTTTCATCCATTACAGAAGCCACAGGGCCAACCCTTTGCTCAATGGAGTCAACTTTCCTCAATTTAAAGGATGTCTGGTACGCAACACGAGGATGCAACCGAGGACGTTTCAGAGAACCTTTTTTACGGGCTACTCTTTTTGTCCTCATTATTGATGTTCTTTGTGCTGAAAATAGACAAGAAGCCAACCAAGAATCAGGTCAAAATGCATTGATAGCAAATAAATGCTTTGATTTCTACTGCAGTTAACAGCCATTCTCTAGGCTTGAATACTTGAACCCAGAATTAGCATTCAGCAGCCAACTCCCCATAGCCATACAAGGAAACCTGACATCCACCAGCAACTGTCAAATAAGGGACGCGAACCCACGATTGCCAACTTCAATAACTTGTGGGTTTGCTGTAACTCTTCAACCCGCTATTACTAGGAATGGATTGGTTTCCAAGTAATGATACTATCGTACAACCGCTGCATCCATCGGCCGCCTTGAGCAGATGAGTTCCCCGGCATCCAAAACCATTTTGGAAAAGCTAAAAAAAGCAAACGAGGGGGAACGATAAATACATAGGTCGCTTATAGTTTCGGTAGAGAAGTAAGGAAATACCAGAAAATCCTTCGTTTGTCATATTTGAAACAACCCATCGAAAAATAGAGACGGGAAAACACATACCTGGGATGAAATCAGCGCCGCAGGTTGAGAAGCCGGCGGAAGTTGAGAACGACTGTCAGGACGAAAAGCTGCGGACGGATACGACAGACAGAAAGGGCCATTTGCGTGTAGCACTAACAACTGACGGAGACGGACGTTTTGGTCCGTTACTTCTTTCAGCTTGGTAAATTAGTAGATCGGCGCTCCCGTGGGATTGTCGGTCGGTTTGCGGACCTCTTACTATGCAATCCATCGTGAACCCAAATCAATTATTAAATTTATCAAGTAAACAAGCTCTAAGTGTTAGTATACTGCTATAGTCCACATTGAGCACGCTTAACTTCAGACTTCCCATAAGGTCACTCATACTTATTGTAGTCCACACTGAGCACGCTTAACTTCAGACTTCTCACAAGAACTCCTCTATGTCACCCCAAAACGCGTCTTGTCAGTTCAGATCGGTTTCTTACTAATGAACCATGGATCTCTCCCGTGCTTTGTCGATGTGAGATTCGCTTAACATGTTACATCTTTTCTTTGGGGACTTTTTTTTTTTTTTTTTGCCAAAATGATAGCTTGTATTAAAAAAAAATGTTAAAATTATTAAAAAGTTATTTCCTTTGTTTACCAGGACAACTTTACACACTACATTGTTGTTCCCCAACGATTTGTCCCCAAACCTCTCTTTTTTGTAGTGATCATGCCTACCGTGAGTCACTTTAGTTATGCTTGGTGCTCTAATTCCTGTAGTACTCTGAAGTAGTTGAGTCAGGGTTTTTTCTTACTTGAATTGTCAAGTAATGACCAACTTATTGGCTAGAATCATATTGATGCCACTGAGGCTCCATATCTTGCGACACAAAAGATCCTTTCTATTGTGGTGTATGCTCGACTTGTCCGCTGATTAGCTGTTACTATGCAATCACCATGACAATACATCGATTCAACTATCCCCAAAACCAAACGACCCCTAAGTGATAAAGAGGAACTCTTTAGTGGTCTTATCTACAAAAGCTACATGAGAGGGGCTCCTTCAACCAAAACTCAAACTCAGATCACACATATTACTTTCCCCTTTGATAATGTGAATTTAGCACACGAAGTGAGTGGTAAACAAAAAGGTTGATTTTTCTCGTGCTTTGCGGGAAATGTAAGATAAATGATAATGAATATCACCTAAAGGGACTAAAAAACACTATAGAAAAAGAGCTACTGCTCAAGTTTAATAGGCTAGACTATGCCAACGCAGTTTGCTTGAGGGCTGTTACAAAAGCTCAGAAATAAGAGAGAACTACACCACCAATCGATAAGCTGTGTTTGGGTGAAGCTTCTAAGAGTATTGCGATTCTCAATGTATCGAAGAGTCGGCGCCCAAAGAAGGCAGTCCTACAAAATTTTCTAGTAAATGTGTCCCTAAGAACGTACTCTCAAACATACAACCTGAAATTATGTTCTGGACTGCAAGTTTTTGGAACAATCTAACCTCCTTTCTACCATGAATCACGCAGATTTCACCTTGGATGTTGTTGACGCTAGGTGGGAAAGTGTTCTGTGTCCAACAAACAGCAGGAACACTCCCAAGAACCCAAGTATTTTCAGCGTTGTGAACAGATCCAACTGTACACCACAGTAGAAAAGATAATCAGATGGAATTATAAGATGAGCTCATCATCAGGCAGAGAACGGAAGGAAATTATGGGATCTGAAAGCTAACCTTCAACCAGAATAAAACATAGAGCAAAAGAACAGCTCCGATGCCCAAATGGAAAAGAGCAGCAAATAAGGCAGGTGCAGCAGCAGAAGGGAAATTCTTCAGGTTTACTCCCAGGCGCAAAAGCTGCAAAATGAAATAGTTAAGCTGATCAGGATCACTTGTAAAAATACCAGCAGGTCAGTTCTATCATCTATGCCTAATACTACCAATCAACATTAATTATTTCCTCATCTTCCTTTCGTTCTCTGTTTCCAAAGCTAAAACACTTGCTTTGTAATGTCGTTTACTGTAATTTTTTAGTCAACACTGAACTAACAATTCTCATATGAGTATTGCCAACTAAAGAAAATTTAGAACTCACCCCAATTATGAACCCCAAGAGAGGCAAAACTGTAAGTCCCAAGAAAGTCAGAGAGAGCTCTTGAGGAGGACGCTTTTCTGGAGCTCTAAATATATGGGCTAACTCAGCTTTAGGTCCAAATCTTGAGTATGCATCAACAGGCTGCACAGGGGGTCGGGGTGCCTTCTCAGGTGCTTCCGGTAGATCAAGGTCAAGATGTCCAATAACTTTAAAGAAGGAGTTCTCCTGATAAGGAAATGAAAATAAATATGTTATATTTGGATGGTGAAGTAGGAAAAACCAATTCACTGTAAACAAATAGTAAAAGCAAAACGGAGCTTGTCCTTTGCTTATGAACAAAAGCAAAAGCCAAAAGGAAAATGGATACTTACCATGACAGCATCTCCAACTGTGAGTTGAATTTCGTATTTACCAGATAGATAGTAAAATTTCTCCACGAGTCCAAGAAAATCCTACAACAGGCCAAATAAATCAGATACATGGCACCTGATAATGGATACTCAGTCCCAGATATTATCTATCTAATCACCCAAATGTGCAAGAGATCATTTACCCACTTTAGTAGCAGAACTAATCTATAATCAAAATGGAAGTTTAGCAGAGCAAGTCATCAATAGCTTCATGAAGCAACCAAACAACATTCCACTAGTACAAGAAGATATTTCCTCTGACTAGACATAAAGAGCTTGTTCATTTCTGCCCCTGATAAATCTAGGTCATCATAGGTTCTCAAGCGAAAGACATGTGATCAAATTGATACCCAACGACCTTTTAAGTTCAAGTTCAAAAGTCCTCCACATCAAATGAGTTTTTGTTCAGGCCAAGTCTCGTATCCTGCCGCCACCATTTTACTATCTTTTTCTCCAGCTAGATAAGTAAATTAGTCAAACTATGGAATGTGTTCAAAAAATTATTGAAGAAAAAACACATATCAAACAGAAGAGGGTAATAGAACATCAAACAAAGAGAACATGAACTAAGGAATCTAACCAGAATGATCTCAAACTGCTTCCCGGTGCTTCCAACCACAAAGATATGATCCACCTTGCTCCCATGTGTCAGCTTCAAAATTGCCTGAAAACCAACAAAACTTGGGAAGACATCTTAAAAAAAAAACTCCTACCAAACAAGACAACAGATGATTCACAAACCTGATGTGGCTTGAATGGATGGCCAAGAGGAGTGGTCAACTGAAAACGTAGTCTCAACTTCTGGAGATGATTTGCTGACAATGACACAAGATTCTCTCCAGCAAAATCCAGACTAGAAAGTACAAAAGTTCAAATTAAATAGTTGACACATATAGTCGCTAGTAATTCTTAAACACTACAGAGAATTCAGAAATCAATGTAACAAGTCATGATGTTTTGCCTCCATCATAACACCTATTCCACTGAGAAAGCTGCTATAGTTTCCGGCAGGACGAATGAAACTAGGTATTCATTGTAAGAGGAAACATACTTCTTCTGAGTTTCTGTGCTCCCAAGATCACTATCAAGGACTGCAATCTCTGCATTTCCAACTTTGACAGCTCCAGTTAAGAAAATTGGAACCTCAGCTTTACTTTCCACAGCATAAACCTTCTTGTGCTCAGGATCATGAAATACAATCTACAAAAAGAAGACTTGAGTTGGTCAATGAATGAAGGGACAGATAAAGAATATCAATGTGCCAAAAAAGCATGGTTACCTCGAAAACAAATATGTACTTGCCCACATCAACACTCTTTTTCAAAGTATCCAAGACATGCACCTTGCTCTCGGAATCAAACTTGAGCTCCTACAAAATAAGAATAACAAAAACATGAGTCAATGCTTCCAAAAAACCAACACCAAAGAGAGTCAAGGAATTATGATCAACCATAGTTCAGATAATACTTAAACCAAATAACCTATTTGATTAAGCTAGGTATTGAGCCCCAAACACAAAAGTTAATCTAGGAGTTATAGAAGGAAAAAAGGTTGCACCTGGCTTTCAATAGCAGGAGTATCCTTAGCTCTTACAAGCTTCACCATCAGAGGAGGAGCATCTGCACCAAGTACAGTACTGACCTTAACCTGATACATAATACATCCATGGAACAGATTACCCATAGCTGCAATATAACTATATGAGTTCAAAAAGCTCCAGAAAGAGAAAAGATAATTATTTGGACACCTTGATTATTTACTTAGAGAAGGATATTAAAATATACATGCCTAACTATGCACATCGTTATCCTGAAAGAACCAATGAAGTTCATATATATATATTCCATACTTTGTGTAGTGTATTTGTAATATACCTTGAGTGCGTCTTTCCTTGTCAACGAATTCACAGTAGCTGGAAGTGATAGAATTAATGGGATAGCAATCCTGTGAGCACAAGCAAAACTCAGCATCATCAGCTTAGGAGACTGCCACATACACTCGATATTTTTAGTTTAGAAAGTACATCACAGGAAGAGTAAACACCCGTTATACCAACTTAAGGGTTTTTTACCACTGAGAAATTAACACGTCTAATTATGATTGCACTATTGAAAACTACTGCATGCTTGAAAATGTGCACCCAGGCAAAATATGAGATAAGGCAACAAGCATGTTAGATCTTCAGGTGGGGTAGCTTGCTTTCAGGGACCATTACACCAGCCGTAAGTTCACATACTCTCTACTCAAAAGGAGAAAGACATGCTAGCATTACAACGAATTGCCACTTCATCAAGAATTCAGTTGTTAACTCACACGGTGATGTTCCATTCTATGCATTGTAACTTAACAGATATCTCTACATGTAACATGACAACAGCTTCCCCATCAATTAAAACAAACAGAGAGAATAATTCCATGAAAGCACTTGCCTGTTGTTCTCCAAGCAAGCCAAGGAGTCTACTTGGTTGAAAAAATCTTTAGCACCACCAGGAATCCCAACCCCAAGGAAAAATTTAGCCAAACCCAGTACCTTTTCCCCTGGAAGCTGGAAAATGAAACACAAGAATCAAACATCTTCTCCTTCATGTCAAAACATAAAAGAGCCTGCAATACTACTGCAAATCATTACTCACATTTAGGTTTCCTGAAGTCACTGCTGCAAATGATGTTATACCTCTGACAACAGACCAAGTAGATGTAAGAGGGCCTTGACTCTCATGAGCATCAATCTCCTCATCAAAATAGACGGTTCCATCATCTGCAAGCATATGTAAATAGGTAATTACAATGCACTAACAGATGACAATATAATTCAGCAGCTTTGGGTCTCTAATAACTCCAAGAATCAAGACCTAAAAAGCAGCAATACAATATTAGGGTTAATATGAGAAGAACATTTAGTTTATTCCCAGGAGTGCAAACAAGGACTATCATTACCATAAAATACTCAAAGGGCGTCTGGTGAACATAGCATATCAATGAGAATGATAGAAGAAAAGTTGACAAGAGAACTGAAAAAAGGCTCAGCTGCTGCAAGTGATAACCTTTCCACATGTTATGATAATGTCCAGATCAGCGATCCAAAGAGAAGTTATTGTACTGTATGATGATTGTCACAAATTCGAAAGAACAGAAACTATTCAAAATCATGCGCTATGGTATATCCAGATCACTAATTCCAAGAGAAATCACAATTACATTGTATGTCAATCATTCAATTTGCCACATTCAATAGAATACCCACCACACAGAAAATTATTTAGTCATTCAAACGATTCAATGGAAGTACGATTCTCCACCACATAACTTCTAGATAAGGTCCAACCGAAGAAAGAAAAAAAGTCAAGGAAAACAGTTACACATACCATACTTCTCAGCTTGCTCAAAAAGCTTCAGTATATCATTTTTCGTTGTACCAATCTGCCACACATTTACAAAGACAAGGAGTCAACTAAAGAGCATAGTAACAAGGCTGAACCAACAACAGCCATCCATTGGAGCAAGAACTCATCAAACTCAAAAAATAGGTTTAAGGACATTACAATGCCTCCCTGCAAAAATCAATGGAGGTGTATTCCAAAACATTACGGATGACATAACAACAAAACAGCAAGTGTAACAGTTGCACGAAGGTGTAAGAAATACAGGACTGAAAATGGTCAGCCGTTGAGGCTCAGGTGAAGTGTCAAGCAAAGGATTCAATTGTTCAAGTAACAAGTTCCTTAGCCAATCAGAAGATGTTAGCTAGATCTTGAAGTCATGCCGCCCATTTTGGGGGTATACAGTATGCAATACAAGTACCAAATCAGTAAAGATGCACAATCTAACCTGCCTGAACAGGTAACTTATTAAAAATATGAAACTCTAGAGCAATGTCAAAGGCTTGCCAGATACTGACACACTGAACTTCCTTTGCTACCAATTTAGCAACGGAAAATAGGAATGGACTGTTCAGGCAGTAACTAACTAGCTATTTATATATTTCTCCGAGCTGGTTAGTAAGGATTTTCGTTTACCAGGGACTGATCGATCTCGGAAGATGATAACGAGATAACTCCAGCTAGTGCTTCAAGGGCTAAACCTGATAAAGACGTAAGAGATTAAGAAAAAGAGCAAATCAGAAAGATTGGTGCAAACCAGCTTCTGTAAAAGAATATAGAATACATTGCATAACAAAATATGGCAGCCAGGTAACAACAAAATTGTCAACAGCAATAAAACCAGTCCACTTATCAGTCTAAGACATCGTCAGATACCCTACCACTTTTCTGAGTGTTGTTAGTGTAACTTTTAAGATATCCTCAAGAAACTCACTCACATCCTTGGGTTACTCAGGAAAGAACACCATGGCCCAGGACATGTAGTGGATAATGATTATATGAAAAAAGAGCATGTTAATAAATGTAGACAATCGATTACTTGGAAAATAAATACCTGCGGCATGAGTGCTAGACTCAGGATTACTGGAACTGTATTGCCACCTTCCATCACTCTGACTTAAAGCCTGTAAATAACAAGACCAAATCAAATTTATGATAGAGAGTGTCACAGCTCCTAATAGAGAGGGAAAGGGGAAGGATTTAAGAGAAGAACAATGGATATGCCTAAGAATGCCCAATCAATCCTTGTCTCTGATCAAGGGATGGAGTTCCTACCGGCTCTATGTACCTAATAATAAAGTGAATGAAGAACAAACCTTGATGGAACGAAATGCTCCTTCAGCATCAGCAAGAAAAAGATCACCCTTCAAAGCTTGATCCTGCACCAAGATTTATCGGGCCGAAAACAAGCCACAAGCTTGAGGGTTGGGGAAAATACAAGATGCAAAGAAATGGTTCATAGCACAGCAACGCACCAAAAAGAAAACGTTGTTACCTTGACAAGTACCAAGCCTCCAATTGAATGATAGAATTCGAGCAACGAGCTGGCACTGCCCACAGCAGTTTGAAGTGTGGAAACAATTCCCTTTAAAAGGCAAGACATAGGTTTCCATGAAACCATTCTCGACACAAACAGGCAATATACAATGCTGCCACAACAGTTACCTCTACAATCTCCGCATCTAGCTCGCACTTCAAAACTCCATTGACTTTCAAAGCATAGAATACATCTTTCAAATTCGAGGACGATGAAGCCAGAGTCTGCGAAACAGACTGGCACGCTGTAGTTCCTACATCAGGTTTTCTCTCCACCCCAAGAACGTCAAATGTTCGCAATGCCTCGTATGTTTCTTCTAAGCTAGAAAGACGGAGCAAAAGTACACACATCATTTGTGTAGATCGGTAATTCAAATTTCAGAACCGAGCAGGAATTCTACCAAACGAGATTCCAGCTCTCCAATTCGGGGGGGGGGGAACAGAAGTACGGAAAATAGGTATCGAGATAGGGTTTAACAACCTGCCAAAGGATCGGTCGAAGATCTCCACTGCGGCGGATCGGTGAGAGTCGGAGATGGGCTGGAAGATTGAAGCAGCGGCGGCGAATGAGCAGCAGATCAAAGCCACCGCGACGATCTGAGCCAGAAATCCGGACAGACTTCTGGCCATTCCGGCGACAGGAGGTAGAAAAGGCAACGAGAGATTTGAGTTGGCGAGGGGACTGCGGATCGGGGAAACCTTCTGGGTAGGCGAAAGTCAGCTTACTGAGGAGCGAGTCGGAAGAAGTGCCGCCACACCACTGGTACCTAGAGAGAGCTGGTCCGCGTCTCCACCGGGAAGTGTTGTTACTTGCAGGGACTGGCGGACTGGACTGAGTAGGCAAAAATGATGCAAAACCCCTTCTCTATTTCAGTTTCCACAATTGCCCATATTACGTCATCGGGAATACCACTTCTGCCCCGATCAACGTTGTCAAACCGGTTTATACCGTTATGGCGATTTGCATAGTAGAATGGTATGATCAGTTTGTGTCGGTTCATACCGATGTGTTGAATAGAAACCCATCCAAGTTTGGAGCCTTTGTAAAATGTATGTTATGAAGCAAATTAAAAGTCTCAAGCATCCACATGCTTGAAAAATAAATCTATATTATCAAACATAAAAGCATATCTTGCATAAGAAAAAAGAACAAAAAACTAATAATTCGATAATCAATATATGAATTAATATGGACACAATATCTAATCAAGTAAAGAGGAAGCGGAAAAACACAAATTGTTGTGTATAGATTCCGCTCACGATATTTCAAATTGAAAAATATCATAAAAATTATTAACCAATAAAAAGGAACGGTAAAGGGGGAAATCCGTCAATTTGAACCTAAAATGAGAGGAATTAATATCCTACACCATCATATATAATGATATATTACATCCCAGAACATCATCAAAAAATCTATCTAAATGAAAAAGTATACTAAATTGAATCTAATGTAAAAGTAACGATGAAGATAGATATTATATCCACCTAGGGAATAATAAAGTAAGTCATGTTTCTTAGAGACCTCTCTCGATAGAACCACTCTATTATAGAACCCATTTCGTCAAACAATGGCATCATATAGAGTTTTAACTTAAATTTGAAGTGCTTATAATTAGCTATTTTAGCTCACGAATGAATTAATTATATCATTTGGTAAAAGAAAATAATTTATAAACTTGAGAGTTATTTCGTTTGTTGTTAAATCATTTGAACTAAAGTATGAAAGTGCTTTAGAACCGTTATTTTATTCATTATTATTAAAATTGCTATTTTTACTATAATGTCTAAGCATGTCTAGGCGAGCTAGGAGATAGACAAATGCCCAATGACCGTCGTACGCCTAACGTGCTGCTGAACCTCAATAATTATAGCAAACTTTGAGTGCATCTTATAAATTTGATCACTTTTATTTTGGTATAATTGATTACATCATGAAAACGATCAATCAAAAAGTCTTTCTTTCTCATTTTAGTTTTTTTTAATATTCAACCTAATTACTTACTTTCATACTATCTTCTTTGATTCTCTAATTTCAATGTTCAAACTAGATAAAAAATTCTTGAACTTATAAGTTCACAATTTAAGAATTTATTTTTGCTTAACCTAATTACTTAACTTTTATACTTCATCTTTTTAGATCATCCAATTACTTATAAATTCACATTGTTAAGAATAAATTTAAATATATAACGAATATATATTTTTCAAATACTAATATGGATATACACTTATTGTCCAATTATAATAATAACGAATAACATGGTACAAACTGAAAAAGAACTATTAATTTACTATTCAACCTAATTACTTAACTTTCATACTATCTTCTTTGATCCTCTAATTTCAATGTTCAAACTATATAAAAAAAATTTTGAACTTATAAGTTCACAATTTAAGAATTTATTTTTGCTTAACCTAATTACTTAACTTTTATACTTCATCTTTTTAGATCATCCAATTTCTTATAAATTCACATTGTTAAGAATAAATTTAAATATATAACGAATATATATTTTTCAAATACTAATATGGATATACACTTATTGTCCAGTTATAATAACAACGAATAAAATGGTACAAACTGAAAAAGAACTATTAATTTACTATTTTATTTTAAACATGTAGTGGCAATTTTTTTAGTGTAATAGCATATGTTTAGATCTTTGAAAATCCCCCCCCCCCCCCACCCCCGCGTTCCTAATCCTGGCAGGAAAATAAAGTACATGAAAGAATAAGAACCCGAATAAGAGTTGAAAAAGAGAGAGTAGAGGGCGTGGAATAGAAGAAATGAGATCTGATGGATGATTTTAGAGCATGGAATACATCCACCGAAGTTTGATTTGGAAGGAAAAACAAATATCAAAAGATCACCAACTGGTGCTATTTATGTTATATACTGTTAAAATTGTACTTATTACTAAATTGGACGTAATAGCAAACCTGACAGACGATCAACACTGCGATGCACCTCATCATCTTGCATACGTTCAGCAAGTACTATAAGGGACGATACACCAGCGCGACAGAGACTCCCTCATGAGTTCAGAGGAGGCTGTGACCTCTGTGCCTCACACACCAAGCAATTCCCAGCCCACACCTGTCATCGAGACTACACCGGGCCTAGAAGAGTCTACAACTGCGGGTCCACCACCGGAGCCTCAAGTAGAGGAGTAGGACTCTGAGGTACGAAGCCAGACTACAGAGTCCATCCCTCCACCTGCTTCAATTTCCACCGATACGACAACGGAGGTGGTGAATTCGACAAGACTGTTCGGGGAGATCCAAAAATTGAGGATCTCAATGGCTAGCGAGATTCATCGGGTGTATACTTCGATTCTCCACGAGTTTCAAGGACTCTCGGTCTCAATTCACAACATCAAGGCTAAGGTTGATTTGATGCTTAACGATCGACTATCAACCGTGCCTTCGAGGTTGATTAAAGAAATCGAGGAGGTCCAAGAGTGAGGGAAGATAGTGAATATGAATGTGTGATTCAGAATGATAAACATTTGTAATGTTGTGGTGACTTTTCGTGAGTTTGAAAACATCTTAGTTTGAAGACATCCTTTTAGGAATGAAGGAAGAGAGTGAAAATTATTGTGTGATTCAGAACGATACACATTTGTATATGTTATAGTAACTCGTCATTGTATGAAAACATCCTAATTTCAAGACAGAGTTTTTCATGAATGTGGTTTTCAGTTTAAAATAACAAGTGCAATCTAGTTCTAAGCACATATAAAAGCAATCCTCGTTAAGGCCTAAGGAATGATTATGAATGTACTAAAAAATTTGTACTGACAGAGAGAACATTTGATCACAGAACCATAAGTGAGAGAGAACGAACGAATCTTCACACTGTCGTCATACCATTTCCATTGTGGGGCTGCTTCTCCCGCAATGATTGCCTACTTGTTCAAAGATGCTTCTTGAGAAATATAGTTATAGGCTACAATGAGGAGAGAAAGAACAAAGCCTAACAATCCAACTTAAGAAAAAGGAGAGAGCCTCAGGAGTGCTTTCAATCTCATATAACAATATTTATGGTTATATAACAACATATATTACATTCATCTTTTTATTATATTTAGCATGTTTATACAAAAAAAATGATAATGCATGTTGGAGTTCTATCTCTTGTTGTTCGTAGATTATCTAATATCGACAAGTTATAGTCCCCTTGGCTGGGTGGTGTACCCATTTAATGGGTCATGGGTGCTCGTATTTTATTATGGAGTCTTAGAAATATTTTTACTTTGTATAGACCTTTGTTTGGTTGGTTCCCATTTTATGTAGCTTCATTCTAAGTTAATGATCTGGTTGTTGGTTCCTCCAGTTCTGGCCTTAATAGTATTTTTCTTCATTCTTATTTTCAAGACTGTCTCATGAACTTTACATTTCTTAATAAATCTTGTGTATCGAGCTTCCTAAATTATCCACCAATACTTAGATGGCTTGGGAGCTCTGTCGTATGTGCCTAATACTCCTTCCTTCCCTTCTTCTTCTCCGCGAGTCAATCAGGCCGACGGATTTCTCTGCAAATTAGGACTAGAAGTAGGGTCAATGTATGAGTAGCTCTCTTTAACTAAATTGTATTTTGTTCACCGGTGAGGAATGGCATGTTAGTGAGTATGGGATTCTAACTTATTTTCATTAGTTGAGATTAGAACATATTTCTTTTTAATGATTTTTATTAATTAAAAATTGTCTTCAAAAGAAACATATGTTTGAGTATGATGTGGCGAAAATGTGGCATCCATGTAGATGTTATGTTATTGACACATATTTTTTAAAATAAGAAATATACAAAATTGGTTTTTTTACAAGGATGATATATATAGGTTTACTTTGATTTTAGTTATTGTTTAGGAATCATATTCATTATTATGGTACTAGTGTTCTTTTGTCGTCATTAAACACTTCATTCAACACTTCAATTCAATGCGCAATATTCAAACCAATGATATTTGTGTTGAGATTTTAAGATTATCCTTCATTTATAAGTTAGAAAAAATTCTAAATTAATCATTAAAATATGAGAATAGAAGTATCAAACACCATAAAATACTTACAGTAGACTTAGCGGGCTAACTAACCGTGATAGAAAAGTTCTTTGTTTTTCATAATTTTAACTTCCTCTATGTTTTGTATTCATAAAGTACAACAAATGTGTTTAGTCTAATTGGTTACAATTCTTGTCTTTGGTGGTAGAGATCATGTTTCAAATCCTGGCATTGATATCTTTTTATTTGAAATAAAAAATTGATTGTGTAAACGAAATTTATAATGGAGCTGAGCCAAAGATAGGGTGGCTAGAAAGGCCCTTTCTTTGTCTCCGGCTATGAGCTGTGTGTTTGATTTTCAGGCCTGGCTGTTTACCAGGATGTAATTACCTCTTGTTGATTCAATATATGAATACCTTTTGTCAAAAAAAAAAAAAAAAAAGATAGAGTCAAGCTACGTCACAAGTTCTAAACAAACTTAACTCGAGAGCTAAAATTAACGAGTTACCAAATCGAACTAACTTGTGAGCCTGGCAAGCTAATCATAATTTAGCATGAATTTGACCCATTTGTAAACAAGACAACTCACAAATCAACTTGTTCAAAGACACAACCTACGAGTCAAGTACCGAATAAGTTCTTCCCAATTTGAATGGGGATTGCTCGCAAGCAAATTTGTTCATTTGCAGCTCCTCACTATGCCAACCCGGTCAATAGGCTGGGCTCTGACCCAGTTATCAATAAAATGCTTACTTCCATGGAGCCACAACCTGGTTAGTTATATCAGCAACCACAAAATCCGTACCAAAGACACGAAATAAAATAACACGCGCCATAGCTGCAAAACCTGCAGAGTCCAAACATCTAGATTACACAATTGGCTTCAAGCATTACAGAGTCAGAGCTCCAGATATCCATCTTGATAGAGAATCCAAACCGTTGAGCACCCACATTCTGAAAGCTATTACACAGCCACATCCGAGAGACCATACAAATGGCCAAATGTCCAATCCAAATAGCAAGAGGAAGACCTGTGTTGGGTCAGGTTTAAAACCATTCTCAGTACTTCTGAGGAGGCTGTTGTGTTGGCAGCAACCCAAACCGCTTCTTCAGCAGATACCTCTGCCTTGCGTATTTGTCATCGGGAGAGAAGCGAGCTGCAAGAAATGGACACACTTTTAAGTCTTCGAAACATTATGAAACTGAATCCAATACCATGTACAGAGCAGCAGGTTGCAAAAACCATAGAAACATCTTACACGGACTAACATTTGGACAAAATTGCAATCCATTTGCCTAAAAGAAGCAGAAGCTATCACATGATCAGCCAAGTCAAACAGACAACAATATCATATGGATTCCCCAAAGCCATACAATACAAACCCTGGTAGCATACTCGTCAGCAACTAAATTTCACTTAGTAAACCTATATTGAAGAAACCACAAGAAATACACCGAAGGAAGAGCACAAAGATTTCCCAAGGAAAACTATAGTAGTCGCACAAGTAAAGATATGGAATTTAGGTTCAACTACATCCGAACCTAATTCAGAAAGGCAAAGGACCATTTACCAGGATGAGCAGACTGCGTAGGCAATCCATGCGGCGATTCTTTCTGTAAAAAAACAAATCCAATCCCACAGAAATGAGCGGGCTTCGACATTCAGGGAAAATCAGATAAAGGGCAGGAGGAGAGAACGCAAACGCACCTTGGTGGTGTAGACTTTATCACCATTCTCGTTAATGTAGCACTGAAGCAACATCGTGAATCTCCGCTGTCAACACCTAACAGAAAAGAGCAGCTACGGAATTACATAATGCATAAAGGAGGGCGGAAACTGGGGCGTAACGTAAGCTAAACGGACTTGGGATTAGGGTACTAGCTTAAACCCTCAAATCGACAATTTCAGCCATCGATGACCACGAAAAAAGAAACAGTACGAGAAAAAACAGTTAACCTCACAGAAGGAAGGAAGCAAGGAGCTATACCAGTAAACACAGACGCAGGCAGAAGGCGATTCTCGGCAAAATCCCAGCAAAGTTGACGAACAAGCTCAGAAGTCAGAAACTTGGGGGAAGCCTAGGGTTTTAGCGTTTTAAACTGAGTAGAATTGGGCCTACGGCCCAGATGTAATCTGGGGCCCAAAACGAAAAGCCTTGAAGGAGAAAAAAGTGCGGAAACGCGTAGCGTAAAATCTTGCCGGAAACCAAGGAGGGGTAAATCGGTAATAGAACCTTCTTCTTTCTTTTCTCTTCTCTGGTGCACGACAGTTGACCAATCAGCCACACTCTTCAAACCCACGTCTCAGCGATTCGCCATCTCTCTCGCTTGGCCTGTTGGCCAGGAAACGAATCCTTCAAATCCCCGGCCTTCTCTCTCTGCTCATTTTTGTGCGCGTGGTTGAGAGAGAGAGAGAGAGAGAAAGAAAGAGAGGGCAGCTCAAGTGAGAGAGAGAGTGTTGGCAGCAGAAGGAAGGAATACGATGTCGTTCGAGGAGGACGAAGAATCGTTCGAGCACACCCTGCTGGTGGTCCGGGAGGTGGCGGTGTACAAAATCCCGCCGCGTTCCACCTCCGGCGGCTACAAGTGCGGGGAGTGGCTGCAGTCGGACAAGATCTGGTCGGGGCGGCTCCGGGTCGTTTCCTGCAAGGAGCGGTGCGAGATCCGGCTGGAGGATCCGAACTCGGGGGATCTGTTCGCGGCCTGCTTCGTCCCGCGGGGGCAGCGGGAGACGTCGGTGGAGCCGGTGCTGGACTCGTCGCGCTACTTCGTGCTCAAGATCGAGGACGGCGCAGGGAAGCACGCCTTCATCGGCCTGGGGTTCGCCGAGCGGAACGAGGCGTTCGATTTCAACGTCGCCCTCTCCGATCACGAGAAGTACGTCCGCAGGGAGCACGACAAGGAAACCGGGGAGAGCAGTGCCGCCGGTGCTGCCGACGGCATCGACATCCACCCCGCCGTAAATCACCGGCTCAAGGTCAGGGAAATGGGAATTGGGGAAAATGAAAATCAGATTTCGATCTGAGTTGTGCGCATTTTAACCTTTCCGCATCTTCATTTCTTTATTTTATCCTCTTTTTTTTTTTAAGGAAGGGGAGACGATTCGGATAAATGTAAAGCCTAAGCCGACTAGCAGTGGAACCGGAATGCTGTCGGCTGCGGGATTAGCCGGCGGGACTGCAGCGACGGGGAAGGCTAAACCGTTGAGCCTTGCCCCACCTCCGGCTGCGGCCGGCAAGATAAGGTCGCCGTTGCCGCCGCCGCCAAACGACCCGGCGGTTGTTCGGATAACAAGTACAGCTGGTGGGAGGGCAACCAAGGATAGTAGCAATAGTAATAGCAGGAGTTCTACCGATTCATTATCAGATTTTTCACAGCTTCAGGTATGTCTGCGTCTCTTCTCTTTTAGTAGACTTCTAAGAATTGCGTGAATGAAAGCTCAATTCAAGCTTCTGGCAATCGAATTACAAAACGCTAGACTTTCTCCGTTGTTGGTTCTTATTAGCCTAATTTCCGGCGGCATTGATAGAACCAGTCAAACAAACATGTAGTTCAATCTGAGGGTTGGGTTTTCTTTGTGGCAGAGGAATCTCCCGCCGGCGACCAAGGCATCATCAACAAGAGTCGAAAAGACAAAAACTGCATCGGGATGGGCGGCTTTCTAATATTAGACATGAATGAAGTAAATGGCGGTGATGGAATTCAGGTGTTTGTGACTTTGGTTGGTTACCTGTTTATTATGTGAGAGTGAGTTTATAGTATGATTTCCCCGTTTTGGGTTTCCATTTTCAGAGAGAAGAAAGAGCAACAAAAAAAAAAAAAAAGAGAACTGATGAACTTGAGAGTTGTGACTTGTGATCCTACCTTTACGTGTAAGGAAAGGAAGCAAGAGGAAAGGCCGGCTAGCTAATGAGTGTTCATCGTGGGGAATAAGTGTTGGATGGAAACGGGTATCAAATCAAATGCGCTTCATTTCCATAAATAGCAAAGATTTCTTCTATATTTCGTTTCCGGAACTCTGCACCTGAAAAAAATCAATGAAATCATGTAACTAATGAATTGTCGGTATAGTGCAAACGCCTTAACCGGCGACCCAACAATAGAAACTCGTAACGACTGTCGACTTCCATACTGGGATTGGCTTGTCGTCGGATTTGGGTGCCAACTCCCAACCTTCGGAGAAGAGCTTCTCAGTAAAGAGAAAACCGGAGTTCCAACCTCCGAACTCATCCCGCGTGAAAAAATCTGCAACTTTTGAGTTAATGCAGCATCACTACGATGGACTTGGAATCATTATTACCCGTCACTGGAAGTATTCTGTCTCTATGGCATTAATGATCTAAACTTTCTTGAGTTTCCAGATGAAACCACGTAGCCATTAGGGTACCAGTATGATACTATGATCTTCAGCAGCGATAGCAGCACCTGCAGTCAGAATGCTCTATTATTCGTACTCCAATTTCAGAACCCACACTTTCCCATTTGGGTCGTCCTTCAGAGTTGCTATCTCTTTCAAGAGATTCTTAAACAATGGCAGATCCTTAGATGGTACCCTGTCCTTAAAGTGCTGCACTATGGTCGCAGAATCGGAACTCCCACCCCTTTTTTGTATGAAAGTACAAATCTGACGAATCAATACTTCCGGCTGGACGCTGGATGTTCCACTACCCCCAGATCTTGTGCTGCTAGTTGAACTGGATGATGCTGCAACATGAAGCCCAGCAGCCGCGCCAGCAGCTCTTTCTTGGTTCCCACGAATTCTAGCGAGCAGCTCGGCTGAAGATAACGCCTTCCCGGCAGCAGATGCCCCAGCTGCTATACCATTAAGGCCGCTACTGGTTGTCCCATTGCTGCTGCTGGATCCGTTGGATGATGTCTTCTTGATGATCACTTGAGAGCTGACAGTACACCCGAATTTCTGACGAGTCGTGGATGGTGGTGCCCCAGCACAGCCTGATTTGCCTGTCCATGTCGGCACTGATATACTTTCACGACTTCGTAGCATCCGCGACTGACGCAATGCCTCTGCTGCCCTTTGTGCGACTTGAGATGCTTGCTCCTCCAACCTCACTTTCTCTTCATCGGGCGCATTCACAATGGCGTCATGGTCCAATGCACTCTGGTGAGGAAGAAAGAGTGGACAAATTTAATGGTGGTTGAAATGGGCGATCTGGGTAACAAACTAACAAGAGCAAAGCAAGCTACAGTGCTTTCTTTAACTTCCCAACCAGTTGGCTGCCTCCAGTTGATCAAATAACCAACTTCTCAATCAAATAACTCAAAACAAACATAAATGGCCAATAAATAAGCAACTAACAGAGAGAATGAAGGAATTAAAATTGGTACTTACATGTATACCATTAGCATCAAAAAGACTCTTCAAGATATTTGTTTCCTTATCATCTGCAGGGTCTTTGTGATCAGAAACCTCCTCTGTTTTCACCTTCCTCCTGGTGAGTAGGGCCTCCGAGTTATGCCTTTCATCGACAACATGTCTTGCACCATTTATGGTGTGTTGATTATGATTGTCCAGCTTTTCCATTTGCGCGGCAACAATATTGACATCTCCAGACAACTGGCTAAAAATGTTAGATGTCTCGGTTGATCCACCGTCACCGTCGTCACTCAAAATGAACAGATCTTTCATGTCGCGAGCTTTAAAGAATCTCCTTTGCTGAGGGTTCTTCAGTATCTTGTTAGTAAGAAAATGCTTGTAAATCTGTCGGTGGTACACCTTCTCCTCGATAGTCCCACGAGTAATCAACCTATATACAGTCACGTCCCTTTTCTGACCAACGCGCCATGCTCGCTCCCTGGCCTGTTTCAAGAAAAATTCAACCATTACTCACTAGGGGTGCAATACAGGTTATTAGCAGATCATCTCAAGTATTCAAAAGGTGAAAACTTAATTTAACACCTTGCATGAAAAAAAAGAAAAGTACCTGCATATCATTTGATGGGTTCCAGTCTGGATCAAAAATTATCACCCTATCTGCACCAGTTAGATTCGTCCCTAAACCACCGACCCTTGTAGTTAAAATAAAAATGAAGATATCATCGGTGTTATTGAATTCATCGATTAAGGCCATTCTCTGCTTCACTGGAGTTAGACCATCCATTCTCCGGTAGTTGTAACCATGAGAGACCAAGAAATTTTCAAGGATATCAAGCATTTGCTGAGTCTGCGTGAAGAGAAGAACATGATGACCCTGCTCCTTCCAGACGTTGAGCACCTGTGAAACAACTTTCATTTTCCCACTACGCTCAGGATTTCCATAGTCTGGATTCTGATAACAATGCTCTCTCTCAAGTAGATCAGGATGGTTACATATCTTTCTCATTACATCAATCCCAGCCAAGGAGTTCCTACTGCCATTGAGAATTTGTTCAACTTCAGCACTCGCAAGAAATGCTCTATACACAGATCGCTGCTCCGATGTAAGGCTACAGAAGAGTACATGTTCAGTCTTTTTAGGAAGATGGGCATTAACATCTGCCTTCATACGACGTAGCAGGTAAGGCATGATCAAGTCACGTAGTACCACAGCACACCTGATGAGACAAATTAAGGTTTCAGCTAATATCCCTATGACACTTATCTGAAAAAGGTTGTCACTGAATTGGAACAAAAAGCTTCAATGTCAATAAAATATTTTAACAAACTATTCAAAGTGCACCTGTACGCCTTAGATACTTGTAGTGGTGAAGCATTTGCATAACCACCAACAGAGATTGGAACAGCGAATTCTGCTTCAAAAACAGGAAGGACCCCCAACTTTCCCGGGAAAACAAAATCAAACAAAGACCACAGTTCACTTAACCTATTCTGAATTGGTGCTCCCGTCATTATTATGCGGTGAACAGTCTGAAGCTGCTTGCAGACTAGAGTGACCTCAGCATTTGGATTTCGAATCCTGTGTCCTTCATCCAGAACTGCATATCCCCAGTCAATGTCAAGCAATTTCTCCCCAAGCAGCCGAAGTTGCTCATACGTAGTAATGAGCAGCCCAGATTCTGACTTCAAAACTCGGTCTATTAATGACTCCCATTTGTTGCCTTTTTTGGATGCTAAACTCGCATCATTGTCACTATCAAAAGAAGCATCACTATCGTCATCACTTTCAAAAGATTTTGCTCTCTTCTTTCTAGAAAGAAGATCATGAGCAGAATCATGCAGTAGTTCGACATGAAAACTGGGATACCACTTGCGTGCCTCTCTTCTCCACTGGCGCAGTAGTGTAACAGGGCAAATGACAATGCTTGGCTTGTACATATTACTAAAATGTAATGCTCCAAGGAAAGACAAAACTTGAATCGTTTTGCCAAGACCCATTTCATCTCCGATAATGCCACCCGCTCTCTGGCAATGCAGTTCCCAGAGCCATTGGACTCCTACTTTCTGGTAATCAAAAAGCTTGCTAAAAATTGTATCTGGAACTTTTAGTCCACCTTCAAGTGTTATGAAAGGACAGTCAGTGCCATCAACATCCCCAGAATCATCTAGTAGCTCTTCTTCATTGCTGGATGTAGCCAGCTCGACCTGTGCATCTCCTTTGAACAAGAAACTGGCAATGTTAGAGCACTCTTTTAGAGCACAGGAACTGGCAATGTCAAATGATAAAGTGAAACTAAGTTGTAATTAATCAAGAAAAAGTCTGCAATCTTTCAATCAACTGAAAAAACACGCCAGGAGTGGAAATTCATTTCACGCCTAATGTACATATATATGAAATCACAGCGGAAACACATTTTGAAAGCACTGCCAGAGAGCTACAAGAAAAACAATCCCATTCATGGTAAATGAAACTCAACATTTCATTTCCAGGTTAGTCAGACCTGGACTGAGTATGTGACAAATATGTTATGATGATAAGTAAAGCATGAACACTAGGTAGAAGCAAATTATCTCCAACATACAAAACATGTAGCACAGTCACTGGCCAAACGGTTGTCAAAACTAAAAAATATAAGCAAGCAGCCAATGAAACACACCAGCATCATCCAAAGGGATTTCTTCTCGTGAAATACGCTTTCTCCATTTCTGGCCAGGCAATGGACGCTTCCTTTTTCCTGAAGCTTTACTTTTTTCTGCATCACTTTCCAGGGAGGCAGGAACTCTGATTGGTTTCTTCAGCCTCTGAAAGGGAAGAGTAGGTGCATCAAGCTTCGGCAATTCGTCAGGATCAAGAAGCTTCGTTCTTGGACGAGCTTTCACAGAGTCTGATATTGACTGAGCAGCCCTTAGAATACTGCCAGAGGTAAGATCACCAGCACCTATTTCTTCATTCTCAGATATATTGGACGGCCCTGGTTGTTGTAGCCGCCTTTCAAACCCTTTAAGCTTATGAAAAGGAGTTAAAATTCCCTTTCTGACCAATTCATCCCTTTCCTGACATAAAAGCATGGTATCAAAATTTCAGATTCCTTATCCTAAAGTGAGCATCATAAGCAAACTGTGATGAGTTATAGGAGATGAAAGATAAAGAGGCTTACTGTTTCAACAAATCCCCTGGATGCTGCATCCAATGCAGCATCAAAATCATTATCACCAGCAAATGAAACTGTTCGCTTACGCTTATCTTCATGTTTTTCAGTCTTTTTGGAAGATTTTGGCTTCTTTTTGGGTCTGCGCTCCTTCACGATGTCTTGTAGCAGTTTCTCATGCTCTCCATCCTTGTCCACAGTAATCTGATGTAGATCTGATAGTTCTTTTTCAATTTGAGCCTTAGTTCTCCTAAGACTTCTAAGTCTATCAGCTGCTAGGGCTTGTTGCAGAGTTGAATTATTTGAAGAAATCAGTGGACTGGATCCGCAATTTTTTTCCTCTTCTTGGTCTTTCGTGCCATCATTAGCACAAGCTGAGTCATCTTCACTAACTACTTTCCTTTCTTGTTCAACAGTGGATGCTACGGCATCTATTTCATATTTAACAGCCCTTAGTTTATGGTAGAGTGTGGCCTCGCTCGTGGACAATGGATTAACACTTTCTGAATTCTCATGAGGCTCCTCGTCTATGTTCTTTCCCTCGTCGGAACTGTTCTTGCCATGGTTTTCTGCCTGTCATTTAGGAGTTCTCTAATCATAAAAAGCACATCACAACTGAAAACTAAACAAATAAGAATTCACCAACACAATATAAGCCAAACAACCATTATAACCACTTGGAGAAAATAAATAAATAAATAAATAAAACTTGGATTAGATTCCTCCTCATTTTAGAGCACCATTGAATTTTCTTTCTATAATCATACAGATGCAATGCTTATCTCATCGACATAAAATGCTTATTAGAAATGCCAAATCCTATAATAATTCGTGAAAACAAAGATGACCCGAATTAAAAGTGGGCGGCAAACCTCAGCTAGAACATGCCGTTCAATGTCCTCAGGATTCGCAGATGTAACACCCAAACTTCTGAGTAAAAGCTTATCGTCATTGTCCTCCATGATCACAGATCACATTCCTCATACACCACCGCAAAACCATGAACAGAAACAGCAGCTAGTAAAGATAACCAGTCTGTCAGTTTCGTTTCCAATATGTATCAACTGAAAACACATTCACCTCCATCCCAAAACACGTACAAAGAATTTCCAATGAATCCATGAACAAGCTAACTCGTTTAACTACTTACTATCCAATTTCAAGCACCACCAGGGAATGCTAGGCATTCCAAACGCAGAATCAGCGAAATACACAAAGCTCCGCATGTTGCATGCTTCCTAGAAAATACCAGGGCACATGCAATTGCAGACTTCCAAACCCGAATTATCGTGTTACAAAGGAAATGAAGGGAAGAACGGGCGAGTAAGAACGGATTAAGCCAATTTCTCGGGGAGAGTCGGTATCGTTAGCCATACCTGTGATTCAGATTTCTGGTTGCGAGTGCAGTGAGAGTTGCAATCACGAGCTCTTATGACTTATCAAGCCTTCGTCTTATTTACCTGAAACGGAATCAAGCAGGAGAGTAAACCTAGAATTTCCCGGAATCTCTCCCTTTCCCGGGGTTTTATCTTCTCTCTCCACCGTCTTTTCTCTGCCCTTGTAGTTCGGTTCTTTTCTTCCTCCCTCTCTCCCGCCGTCCCGCCCCATCTATTTTCTTTATTAATTATTTTTTCGTTTTATTTGTTTCCAGTTCAAGTTTGAATCCGTCTCTAGTTTCTGCTCTCTCGTAGTCGTACTCTCGTTCATTAGTCACTAGTACTCGGTCCGCGCTCTGCTGCGGGGTAAGACTGACTCCAATTGTTTTGTGAATCTTACCATGTTCTTTCTGCTATACCATTCGCAAATAGTTTATATTCGTTGCGGTAGAGAGCGCAGAAATTAACAAACATATTAACAGACTTTGTGCTCAACGCACATATACATCGACCATAGTTTTGGCTTCATTGAAAATAGGGACTAAAAACTTGAGCATCTGATGCCTTCGACGAAATTTAAAAACATAAACACATCTGCCACAGTTTTGTCTTCACTGAAAAAGGGAATAGAAAATTTAGTTAAAGTGGAGAATTCTGGGGGTGGATGGGATACTTCGTTTGGTCTTTCTGTCAGTAGATCTGAAGGTCACTTATCTATCCTTGAGGTGTGCCAAAGGGTAGCCACTCTTATATGGGATACGGCTGTTCTGGTTCTGTTCTTCAGATTTGAGGAACCGATGTAGAACTCTCCTGCAAACATTCTGCTACATCTTTTGACCAGTAACGCCTTGGCTGATTCTGCATCGAGTTTCTTGTATTTGCTGGGTGACATTCCCATTATCGATAGTGTAGCCTCATGGTCAAGTATGACATCAAGACTATCATCTCCTTGCTTGCATTTGACTTCCAACTCATAGTGCAGCCTAGTCATAAGTATAAATTCAGAAATTTGTTGGCTTATTCGTAGATAGATTGATTCACATGAGATGCAATTGTCGTCTTGAAATAGAAAACTTACTCTGGCCAGTCCTCAGTCGCTTGACATATGGCTTTTCGAAATTTCATCTGTGAGATGGAGAACTTAACACGATAGAGCACCTAGCATGAACATCAGACGTTGATAAGATATTGTTCTACGAAAAATGTAAGGTGACAGTATAGGAATTTGGTTTATGTTTTGTCCCTCACCAACCTTGTGGATAGTCTGATCAGTTGCAAGCATTGTTTCCATGTCAGAGAGTGTCTTCTTTTCGATTCCTGATCGAAGGCAGCCTGTCTTCTTACTGGTATTGGCATCCATCAAATAAACTTGCTTTGCGACTGTAAAGGAAACTGGTTGTGGCATAAAAGAGACAAAAGTGTCAATGTAATTGGTTTTGGCCGACTGGCAACAAATAGGATTCAAAAAATGGAAAGATTCTGTAAAATTAAATGTACATGTGCATTATCTCCTGGACTGGGACTGTATAAGATCTGATCATGAGTGCACTGGCTGGAGTGGATTCGAACCGATACTTGTATTTCTGGTCGGCCAGAGGTGCCACCCGAATGACAGACTTGATTGTAACAATCAGAGGCAGATGAGCCTCAGCTGTCGGGGCGTTCTCTAAGAAGTTCGGTATATCATATCCACGATACCGAACAGTTGCCTTAGCGCCACTGTTAATGACATTAACATGTGAGGTTGTTATTCATACAATTCACAGATCGAGATTCTATTCTACAAAATGTACCTCACATCCTGAACGACCATGTGAAATTCTTTGAGTCTACTGCGAATTGTTGTGGGAACACTGAGACGCCTAATGCATACGGTGATGTCTATAAGCGACACAAGAGTTTGTCATTTAAAAGCCTAAGTTCATTTTATTATATCAAATAGATATAGATATAGTTAATGTACCTGTATGATAGTCGATGGTGTCTGTCTGAAGTGGTACCATCGAAAAAGCCATCCCAATGTCCCAGCCATTGGGCAAGCGCGGCTCATCTGGGTCCTCCTCAATCCTGGTAATTTTTTGATCAGCGATTATGTGCACTCTTAACTCTCCTGCAACGATCTTTGGATTCTCTCTTGATGGTATTGCTTCAACCGAATCAAACCGATAAAGGTTCCCGACTTGTATTTTCCGAGAAATCTCGTTGATGTCTTTTTCATCAACCATTGACTCGATTAGTCGTGCCTATAAGATAAGCAGTTAAACGGTTCCAAATTATGTATTACAGCAGTCTAAAATTGTTGACGAAGAGATTATCTAATTCTGTAACTGAAATGGAAAAAAACCTTTTTATCTATCCAGATCATGTGCATGCTCAGATTTTTAAGCTTAGGCGCCTCTCGATACTCGAGCCATGCCATCACAGGCCTAGCAATTACTATGCGGACGTTTGTGCCCAGACGCAGCCCTCGAAATGGCATGCAAGTTTCGATCGGATCTATAATAAGACAGTATAGGGAAATGAAACTCATATTTTATCTTTGGAGCAGAGGATTCGAGATACCTGGTAGTATTCTTTAACAAAAATGGAAAGCATTCACCTTTGTTGTCGGTGGGGACCATGTTAGCGACCTCTGTTGACTGCTGGTTTTTGGGCAAACCCTCCATGTCTTGTGGGGATTTACGCAAACAATGTGGATGATGATTAGAAGTTAATTCCCAAGTGTGAAAACGGTGAGAAAGAGGAGGACGTGGAGTTACCTTTGTTTTAAAGGCTGTCGTGTAGTTCGGTGGTGGGGTTTCGCGGCGGAGCAAAGTGTATGTAAATGTGGACGGCGGATCTGGTTGATGAAGACAGTTAGGGTTGGTAAAGGAAGTGGTGATTTTGGGCCAGTTTCCCATGGGCTTTTGTCTGCAATCCTAAAGCATGTTCTGGGTGGGCTCAATATCATTCCATTACTATCAAAACGTAACAGAACGTGGGCTCGTTTTTAGTAAGCGTTTAAGGCCGAAGAATTCAAGACGCAAACAATGTCTCCTCTTAATTTCGATCAAAGGATCATGAAAAAATATTCTATTGTGTCGTTCTGCAAGAACAGGAAGAACATGAAGAACCTGCCCAGAATTCAAAACGCAAACAATCTCTGCTACAAAATTTTTTGGTAGATACAATCTTAAAGACAGAAAGTAGTTCTCCATGTATCCAATTAGGCACTTCATGATCAAAACAAAACATTGACGTCTCTAAACTATTGAGGTACCAACATCAGGGACTTCCATATGGACCGAGCAGAATAACCAGCACCTTGCAAATTGTCAAAGTGAGTACATCGGTGAATTTTCAAAATACCAGAGTAGTAAGGGGAAAACATTAAGTTTTTTTTACGGAAAACAGAGTATTATGTCCTGAATAGATAACATACAGAATTATAAATAAGCTGTCCCGACAAACTAAGTTCCAAGGAGAATAGTTTCATATGACACAAAAGCCTTAGGGTTCCAGATTGAAGCAATTCGGATTGCAGGAGGATTTTCTGGAGTCCCAGGAGCAACATAAGCTTCAGCCATAAAAGGCACATGACTCCTGTCCTGAATGTACTGATATCCTTCTTTATACGTCAGACTGAAAAGTTCCTCTGGCGAAACCCAAACCAAGGCCAACACACCTTCATGATCAAACACAACATCAACATATTTCCCCTCGCACTGACATGTTGCTTGTAATTCATATCGTACCCTGAATAAAACAATAAAAGGAAAGTTTTGATCTTCCTGAAATGCAATGGGCAACATATTATTAGTAAAACACAAAATTGAATCATACCTTGGAAAACCCGAACATGATTTAAAGACTTCTGGACCGTATGTAAATCCTGTGATTTCCACCATACAACGATAGAGAGCCTGAAGGAAGGAATTTGTGTTATAATAGGTAAAACATATGACTATATATTTGGGATATGTGTTATCCAATACAATCAAAACAACAATATCATACATATACCTGATAGGTTTGTGCATGGAACATTATATCATCCTTGAGTTGCCCGAGGGTTCTTTTGGGAGGAAGAAGACCACGAAGATAACCAATAGAGCGGCGAGAAGTTTTGTTGATGTAAGTCACTGGCATTCGATCACTTATGAACCTAAACAACAAAAAGAATGTACGTATTATTTTTCTAGCATCCAACAGAGCAGGTCTATCATTATATAAACATCGAATTCGAATATAATAATACCTATTTATGATCTTCTCATAATGGTGATTATAAGAACCAATGATCAGACGACTTCCAGGTGAAGATTGAAATACATATGCATCTCCGGTGGCATCTGTGATTGGCAGCCTTGTAACAGCAGTAACTGTGGTAATGAGAGGAAGTCGAGCTTCAGATTCCCCTGCCAACTCCAAATACTTTATAACTTCAGTTCCAGAGTAGTTCACTGTCGCCCTGTTTCCTCTATACATAACAGCAAAAGATCAGTTAATCCCACATGAATTCTAACAAACAAAAATCAGCACAAGAATATTCAAGAAACCTGATGTCTTGTATGATGAGCTCAAAACTAAGAACACCGTTAATTGGAAATCCTGGAATCGTCAGATGAAAAACGCAACCTGTAATATCTGCAATTCAATTCAAAGTAAGCAAATAATCATGAATACTTTTTGTGCAAACAACTCTTGAGGAAGATACCTCCATAATTCACAACTGCCTCTTCCTCTATTGGAATAGCCGAGAATGAAGTTTTCAGAAAAGCATTGACTGGAAACTTGGGATAACCCGGATTGTCAGGGACACAAAACATGATATGTTCACGCTTTAAGGCTAAGCGAACTTCAGCTGGAACAACACGCCTGTTTTTCCTCGCAGGAATAACATGAAAGCCATCCAGGACATGTAAATCTCCTACTTGAAACTTAGGCTGCATTTCTTGAATGTCATTTTCCTCTATACAGGCCTCCAGCATATGTTCCTGTTAAATGTGATTTAGTGCATCACCACAATAAAATCAAACATAAACAATAAATATTACAATACAGAGACGAATGACAGACCTCTTTGTGAAGACACAGCACATGCATTGTTCTTTGATGTCCCTGAGAGTCATCACCATGCTCAATCCATACATTAAGAACTCGAATGATCATAGTATCAGTATAAGCACCCACACGTAGACCACGAAACACCTTGCATGTGGAAATTGGGTCTGATACAAACGAAACACAAAGAAAACCTCCAAAGCTTCACACCTCGACAGTGTTCATTCACAAACCAATAAATAGAAACCTGAAACAGTAAGCAACAAAGGCGATACCTCGTGGAAGAGTTGGAAGTTTGAAATCACGCGGCATTATACAACGATGCCTGATATGGAAAGACAATGGAAGATCAAAAATTTCTT